TTTTGAATCGATTCAAAATTATGGCTTCCATTCTGGCACTACCTCACTGAATTGGCACGAGCCGCCACTGGTGTCAAGAGATGTACCATTTTTAAAGGCGTCACCCTGCTTCTGCTTTTAGCATGACTAAACTTTTTCTAAAACATTTTTAGATTTCAATTATCTTCTTTCCAAAACCCTTATATATTTGGGTTCTTAATGGTCGGAACAAGTCTCATAAGCTGTGACAAAAAAGTCTTGAAGGGCTTCAAACGTCCTGACCCTTGATATAAGTTCTCTTGTCACAAAGGGAATGCGGTTTTTATGAAATTATATGGAGAATGTTATCTATGAATGGGTATTTAGGTTATAACATCTAGCTAAACCGTTATCAGAAATTGTCTTTGTATTAAAATACATAGACAAAAATGCTATCCTTTAATTGCAAATTCCAGAAATACTATATCTTTTAGACGTTACATAACATTTTCTGTCTCTCTCTGTGTCTGTCTGTCGATCTATCTGCTTTTGATGAATTTTTGACACATAGTTGCCACTAGGCCAGGATCGAAAAAGCTGTCAGTTTTAGAAGTCGATTCGGTTGGGTGAGAAGGGAACGGGGTGAAAGACGAGATTCTCAATTCTCTATTGAGACGCATGTGTACCACACTGTCGGAGCTATGGTATCCGGGCTATTGCATATACAAGCAGGTCACCTTCAGGGTTGATCAGAGACAACATGTCTGCCGGGCGCTGAGGACGAGAAAAAACTATATATTTCGCTTTGTACATGGACGTTTACTTTGCCAACAACCACAGTTGAATAGGTTCGTTTTTTAAAATTAAAGAAAAAATTCAATATCTCAAAAACGGTGACACTTTTATATAGAGATCTTCAGACCTTTCACCCATTGGACACGCCTGGGACATTTTGGGAAGAATATTACTCGTTTACCCCTGGGATGAGATACCTCAAAATGAAGTCCCTAACTTGATTAGGAGTACGCCCAGGCGTATTTTTAAATGCAGAGGACATTCTGGGGGTTCAACAAATTATTAATTTTTCACATTTTTTTCAACCGTCGGATTTTTCTGAAATTTTGATTAATTACTTTCCTAACCCATTATTACTGGGTATCCTTTTTCTATTTTACTTAGTTGGATATAACTTTAGAACGCTAATAAGTTTAAGTCACGCTTACGATTAACATGTCTCTAGTAGTCCATGCGACCACCCGATGAAGACTGACTCATCCACTGGGTCTCCAGATCAGCCATCACCAAAGTCTAGATTTTGACATTAGATTCTTGGATTAGTATAAAGGGGAATATATGTTTTCTACCAAATTGTTACTTATATTCATAAGTTACTTTGTGATCGTAAGTTATAAATCTACCGCCTAGCAAAGGTGATCCACATCCTCAAGATAGATTTCTGTTGCACCATTCTGGTTTGGTAGAAATTCAAGTTAAGATAAACCTAGATCTGATAACAGCTTATTTATACCTTTTTAGGGGAATTTCGTTTGCAACTACTACACAGTTTGTTATATGCCTGTCATATTTTGTCACAATGTTCGCCTTATAGTTAAGAAGCAATCCTAATGATAATTGTTGTACTTGAGGTCATTGCCAATTATGAAGGAACTCCATTATGTTGTCAATTACCCTTAATATCGATAGCGATGTTTTCAGATCACACAAAATCTTTGGTAAAATGCGTTGTCATAAGTTTAAAAATATTTTGCTGTGTTCGGATTTGATGAGAAATCCCTTACATGGCAAACCTATTTCGCGAGTTTCATGAATTTCCCAGATATTTTTATCCATATTTCAAACATTCAAACTTTTCGTACAAAAATTTGAGGTACTTGATTAGCGAGTTGTCAAAATCAATGCTTATTACAAGCTAGAAAATCCAGATTAAACAGAAAAACTCTTTAGCTCATCTGTCAACTTCAGTTCTACTCATTATTTCCCAACTAACAATTTATGTTTTATAAATGGACTAACAACCTTTGCAGAACTATTTTTATAAAACAACGTTTATACAACGCTTATAAGCCCAAAAAGGGCGCAAGCAATTTTGTTCTTTAATTTGTTTGATTATGACTCCCACAACTTTTACCGGATAATGGTTTAAACGTTTTTAAAATTATTATATTATATTATATTATTCAACAATCATAAAACAGTTTTATTGAAAACTTTTATAGAACTAGAATGACACAATTTTATAAAAGTTATTAACTTAGATGCAGCTTTTTTGTTTTGGCTAACACTAAAAGTTTGCTATTGCGGTTAAATTGCACTCACTTTTTTAATGATCTTTGATATAATAAAAAGGCAAGCATTAGATATTTTTTAGCAAATAAAATATGTTTGAGTAACTACATCAGCCATGTTGCACTAAGTTCTGATATTCACTCAACACCAGGCAGACAGAAATCCGATTTTTAATCTGATAGTTGGTATTTTACTGCGCAAGAAACTTTTTGTATAATATGTGGGATATATGTAGCAAAATTTTGAAGCGCCAAGTATATTTGTTATTATTGTATTCTAAGAAAAAAGGTAAAAAATCGAGTCTTTATTTTTTTTACTCTGGCCTGTATTGTAATAAAATAATTCAAGTGAACCATCTTATATCATCATAATATAAACACTAAAGTAGTAAATTAAGACATTTATCATTGCAAAAATGATTTTTTGTGATACACTTAAAAATGGCCGTCGTAAATTGAAATCGAAATAACAAACTATGGCTTCCATGTTATAAAATACTTTTACCACTTTGTGAGCTCTTATGAAATGTTTTAGTTTTAATAAAATATTTAATTTATAAAGAAAGTGTAAAAAGGTCCATGCGTATATACAGGCTGCTACAAATTCGATGCATTAGTATTGGTATCTTGTTAAACGCTAAAGGTAAATTGAGGAAAAAATTTGAATTTCAATGCTTGTTGGTAACGAGCAAAGATATTTTATAATTTTCAACGGTCCTTACTATTTTATTTTTTGATTACTTTGTTACTGCTCTTAGAACGCAGTTTTGTCTTAATAAAATTGCCAGTTAGACAATTAAGCTTTTAAGAAGTATTCTGGTTTACGGTGTAGCCGTACGAACGTTTTTAAAGCAAAATTACAAAACAGTTTTATGACAAATTTTAATATTGTTATATAAATGCTTACACAACAATTTTATACTACATTTAAGCGTACTGAATGAGTTTCACACACATCACTAAAATTGGTATGTAAAACATTTATAAAATTACTTTATTAATATTTTTTTTCTGGTATTATCGCTCGCCAAAGCATATTGCCCTTAAAGCTATTACATAATTATAAAACAAATAAATGTTTGTCAGGATACAAAAGCACTTATAAATAATGGGTGATTTTTTCGACCTTTTTTTTCAAGTTGGCAGCACTGATATGTAATGGCGTCCAAGCGTAATCTGTCAAAGTCAAAATTGTTCAGGTCATTTCATCATGGAAAGACTTACAAGCGAACAACGATTGCAAATCGTAGACATTTATTTTGTGGTCTTCTTATTCGACCTAGTGGTACCACAATTAGGGGTGTTATTACCAAATTTTGTACCAAATTTACTTTATTGGACGTTAAACCGTCGACTCGCAAGGGTACAGTCCGTACCGAAAAAATATTGCATCCGTAGCAACCAGTGCTAATGAAGATCGTGAAACATACATTCGCCGCAGATCTCAACAGTAAGGAATGTGTTACTCACTACTTGGAAAATTTTACGTGTCAGTTTGAGTATGAAGGCTCAAAATTCAGCTTGTGCAATAATTGAAGCCAAATGACCTACCACAAGGATGAATTTTAAGTGAATGGTCCTTGCAACAGCTGGAAGGAGATCCGTTGTTTTATCGAAAAATTGTGTTCATCGATGAGGCTCACTTTTGGCTAAATAGATATGTTAACCAGCACAATTGCCACATCTGATGTGATGAGCAGCCACAGGCTATACAAGAATTGCCCATGTATAAAAAAAACAACAGTTTTGTGTATGGTTTATGGGCTGGTGGAATTATCGGGCCGTTTTCCTTTACAGTATCGTTCGCCGTAACGTAAGTCGATCCATGATGCGTAATTTTTTATTGCCCAAATTGTAAGATCTGAACATGGCTGACATGTGGTCTCAACAAGAGGGCGCCACATGCCACACAGCACGTGAAACAATGGTCATTTTAAGGAAAGGATTTGGTGAGCAATTTATCTCTCGTTTTGGCACTGTAAAGTGGCCACCAAGATTATGCGTCTTGACGCCTCTGGACTATTTTTTGTGGGGCTACGTGAAATCGTTGGTGTATATGGACAAGCCCAGCACTACTGAGGCCTTACAAGACAACATAACACGTGTTATTGATGGAATTCAGTAGTGAAAAATTGAACCTGCCGTATGGACTATTTGAAACGTAGCCATGTTCAACATTAATTTGAATGAAGAGATTTAAAAAGTAATTGGCAAGAACCAGTTTATTGATTCCAATAAAGATCTTGTATACATTGCATTTTTAGCTGGTTTATTCAACTTTCAAAAAGAAGGCTTTTAAAAAATCACCCGATATATTTACAAAAACGGATACGGCGTTCATTTTTCCGAATAATTCTGGTACGTCCTTAAATTTGTTTATTTTGAAACGGGGTATGGTTAAGCTTTGAAATCCACATTCTTGACTTAATTTAAGCGACCTTGGGCTGTTGAAAATTATAAAATATCTTTCATAGTTGGGAAGTCGGGTGGGCGATTAGTAAATTAATTTTATAATTGTTCCACAAAGCGCTAATAAAACAATTTTATTGATGTTCGCTATTATAAAACAAACTTGTTCAGCAAGCTTAAAAAATATCGAATTAAATTGTCGTGTAATCATTTATGAATCAGTATTCAAATTTGTCTTAAAATTGTCTTGTATTTTTGCTCTAAGAACATTCTTATGACTACCTTACCTTAAGTTTTGCATATGGAAATAAAAAAACACGGTAGGTAGTTTTAAATGACTTTATTGTTTTTCGAAGTATTCTCCACGAAGATTAATACACATCTGCATGCTCTCAAACCAATTTTCGAAGCACTTATTCCACTCGTTTGCTGGCAGATCCAAAACGGCATTTTTGAACGCGTCAACTGCTTCTTCTGGTGACTGGAACCTTTGACCACGCAGTCTGTTTTTAATTTTCGGGAAAGTAAAGAAATCGTTAGGACTTAGATCGGGACTATATGGAGGATCGTCCAATAATTTCACGTTTTCTTCCGTTAAATACTGCCTTGTTTTTTGGGCTGTGTGCGAGCTTGCATTGTCTTGGTGGAGGATGATTCTTCTTTCGGGGTTGATTTTTCGAAGCTCGGTGATGACTTTTTGCAAAAAAATGGTGGTATACCAATCCGCAGTAACAGTTCTTTGCTCATTAAGAGAATTTGTTGCAATATGACCCGCTTTTGACACAAATGTCGCGACCATCTTTTACGAAACACGAACTTTTGTCGGCTTTTCTTCACCTTGGAACACCCAAACAGCCGACTGTCGTTTATTTTCTGGTTCATAACAGTAAACGATTCAATACTACTAACAATGCTGTAACACATTTTTTGAGTTTCTGGAATTGAAACGGTCAAACGTTTTTTGACACCAATTAACCCTGGCTGCTTTCTGCTCTTCAGTCAACTAATTTTCTTACTTCTAATTGTTCATGTAAATTTCTTTTGAATTGAGGTCTTTGAGATCTTCAAGGATGCCTCAATCTCGCGATATGTCACACGTCGATCTTCAATGATGAGTTTGCCCACAGCATCGACGTTTTTCTAGGTGACTGCCGTTTTTGGTGCACCCACCCTGGGATCGTCGCTAAGACTCACCCGTCCACGTTTGAATTCTCCATACCAACGGGAAATTGTCGACTGATGTGGCGCTTCGTTGCCGAAAACAGACAGTAACTCAGCAAGGCATTCTTGTTGCGATAATTGTCTCTGAAAGTTGTAATAAATTATGGCGCGAAAATGTTCTCAGTTGAGTTCCATTTTTCTAATGATTTGGCGACACTTAAAAATTCAGTGTAGTGAGAACACTGCACGCATTGTTGTGAAACTTTGAATTTAAGTTTACTAAAGAGTGAGGTTAAGATTCAGTACTGACGTTCGTCCGCGCGGCCTACTATGTATCTATATGCAAAACTTAAAAGACATCCCTCGTATAAAGCAAGATACTTCTTAGCTTAATTGTCTTAGTAATCATATTAAAACGTAATTGCATTCTAAGATCAGCAATAAAGCAATTATTAAATATATTTGCTAGTTGGGTTGGTACAACAAAAATATTGAAATTGAAGATCAGCTTAGCTCAAACTTTACCTAAGCAACGCGGTGCAACCGGAGATAAACTCAGCCGCAGTATTTTTTTAGAAACGTACAGCTGCTCCAAGCCAATACGGTGCTCACAGCTTCTAATGTTTTTCGGAGTTGTTTTTTAATTAAAGTTGAAGCTTCGCCGAAGCCGAAACCCCTTCAACTCCCTCAATACCTCTAAGCAGAAACTTCTCATCTAAAACTCCGGGTGAGCGAGTCTCCCGCTGCTACTTTGCCGGTTTCAATATAAAGCGACGAACTCCGTCGAGTAACGTCCCGGGAGTGCTTGCAAGTTTTCCCGACACCGGCAGTCACCTTGTTTAATCCCGATCCAATCTTTTATCTTGCACACGCTTTCACACTTAACTGCGAATCAGAAAATATCACCGAGAGCGGCGGGCAACGACGGTGTTTTGTTTTCCTATTCGGAAAGTAGTCGGGCATTAGTGTCACGGAGGGAATTACAGTAAAAGAAAGTTATAGTTATGTGGGCGGTGTGCACTATACCGCAAAAGTCTTGATGTGATAGCGGAATGGCGAGCATGAGGGCGTGAGATTCGTGGACGATGGCGACGTGGAATTCTTGATATAAGTACGCTTGAGGTGCTTTGCAATCCTATGGAAGTCATAGATGGAAGCATTTTGATACCCGTTTTGCTATACTTATGAATTCATCTCGAACTCTTCGCAGCTCACACTCATCAGAAAAGCAAATGGCGTCAAGTACGTTGACTGCATTTCCGACGCAACGCCATCAGTGCGTAAAGGATTTTGTTAGTAACGGAGAAGTATAACAGAGAAATTAAACGAAACAAGTCAGTCAAACAAGCCCATACAATTAGTCGCACCCTGCCCTACGCCCGTCATCAATAGCAGGTCACTCGTCGAGGCTGGGAAGTCCGCCGATAAACCCTGAGAGCAGAAGCAAAGTCGTGTATCGGAAACAAAAGCGTAAATGTACGGGGAAATCTGTGATGTGTGAAAAATACATAATATATATTTCGGCGTCAAACGCTGAAATCCGTCATTCCCTGAAATGCCTAGTCAGTTCCCCGTATTACCGGCAAACACCGTAACAGTTTGATTATTACAACATTTGACTAAGCATTTCAGTCATTCCCTGTAATGACTGAACAATTTCAGTCAATCACCGTAACAACCACATTAACTTCGTTATTGCATTTGCCTAGTGTAGTCAAGCGCTGTAATCAATACAGTGTTGATCCAGTGAATTACATAATATAACAAGGTAAAACTTTATCAATAATATTAGAGGAAAAATAATCAAGCATGAATTAATCTAAAAGGAAAGAAGAATAGATTAAAACTTTGTCTTTATTACTACATTATTGTTCTTTTAATAAGTATTTATACTAAGTGACATATAAATCCGAACACCCAGTTTAAATGGTTTTATTTTAATAAAATTTTGTATAAGTACTTAATGAAGCATAATAAGTAAGTGATAAGAATTTCAAAATGATTGCACTGCTTTAATGTCCTCCTGTGGTATCTCACTCCAGGCAACCACCAACTCCTCTCGAAGTGCTTCTAGAGTCTGAGGAGGACGTTGCAAATTGAGCAATCTCGTACCCATCATATCCCACACGTGCTCAATTGGGGATAAGTCGGGAGATCTTGGTGGCCATGATAACAATGTGACATCATTATGTTGAAAGAAGTCTATTGTGACTCTTGCAACATGTGGTCGGGAATTATCTTGTTGGAAAGTTGTACCTGCCAGGGTGTCAAGATAGGGTAAAAGATGGGGTTCTAGAACTTCGTGGATATAACGCTGCGTGTTCATGTTACCTCTGATAAAGATTAAAGGTGACCTGGAACCATAAGCTATAGCACCCCAAACCATATCTCCAACAGTGTGATGAACATGTCTTTCAACAAAAAACTGTGGATTCCTCCTTTCACCACGTCGCCTTATAACCCTGGCACGACCATCGTGCATGCCTAAACAAAATCGAGACTCGTCATTAAAGACAATACTGTTCCATTCCTGATCCCAGAGTGTCCGTTGTCTGCACCACTCAAGGCGATTACGTCGGTGTTCTCGAGTTAAAGGGAGGACCCAGTGTGGCCGGTATGAAAACAAGCCAAAACTTCTCATTCGTCGGTAAACACTTCGCATGCCAATAGGTCTTCCGTGTTCTGCAAACCATTCAGTTGCAATGGACCTGGTAGTGGAGAAACGGTCCCTTAAGGCCAATAATCTTAGGCGGCGATCTTCACGGTCTGTTGTTCTACGGCGGCGTCCAGTGCCCCTTGCTCTTTGCGTACGGCCTTCTCGAAGCCATGCCTGACAACAATTAACCACAGTGTCTACACTTCTTTGCACTCTAACTGCAATTGCCCGAAAAGAAAGTCCAGCTTCCCGAAGTCCCACTATACGCCCCCTATCAAACTCACTAAGTTGACGAAATCGTACAGGTCTCCGTACTCTAGGCATCGTAACCGATCGTAAAGGATGTCAAGATCCAAAATCCGCCAACGTTGATTCTGTACTGCGGTTGAAATATTCATTTTTAGAGCGTTAGTGAATTAAAAAAAAGCAGTATAAAAACCGGAATCTCCAACAGATAAGGCTGAAAAATTTTTCAGTTGTTATTTACAGTAAGATAAATACATTCACCAACTTTTATTAAAATAAAACCATTTAAACTGGGTGTTCGGATTTATATGTCACTTAGTATATACGAAATCCGGCAACAATGGATGCTGCTGTTGAGCAAGCATATGTACGTTATAATTTAGGTTAGGTTCACAAAATTATAAAATTAACTTACCTCCTTTAACTAATTTGTGTTCCATGGTTTTTTCTTATTCACACTGTCATAGTTATTTGTAAAACAATTCTGAATGCTGCGACAACTTTACAAACACAGAAAAGGCGATGTGTATACTCAAGCAAATGAACACAAAACTGGTACAATGAATGACTGAATCAGGCAAATGGAGTAACGAAGTTAATGTGGTTGTTACGGTGTTTGACTAAAATTTCGAAGCTTTCTAAACGGCAGGTTAGTTCAAAAAATACGCAACTTTGAACCCATTGACGCGACTTCGTATCAGCTACTGGTCGAATTTGAAACACCGGCTAGGCGCCATCTTGTAATTTTTTTTTAAATGGAATCCTAAATAAAAAAAATCATTTTTCAAATTCACGGGGTTTTTGTACATTGAATTAAAATTAGCTAAGAGATATTTCGCATAAAACAATTGACATTTCTTCAATGGTACTATTAGGGGAATGTTGCATACTTTATTACATATTCCCTTACAAGACGATATTGATATACGAATACTGCAGCATTTTTATGATTGGTTGTTGAGCTATAAGCGACTAATTGTACAGAAACGCTCAACTTTGAAAGGTAGTGATTCAATTTTTCAGGGTAATGAAGTACTCATAAGTGTCTTCAAGATGAAATATCACACGGCACCTAGTTCTATTTAAAAAAAAGTTCCATAGTGGCGCAAAGCCGCCATCTTGGAATTTTCGTCTGCTACTTTCACTCTAAAACTTGCAACTTTCCCAAGATTTCAGCTTTCTAAATTGAACTGACCAAAAAATCATTAGGGGCTTTTCGAAAAGCGCCGTATGTGGAAAGCAATAATCTAGAGCCGTCCCAATAAGTCATAAACCACCGAATAACGATTACGAACATTATATTCCAGTACCATCAGCAGACTCCAGAATTGTTTAATAATACAGAAGAATCCGTTCAGTTTCCTATCACGTACGATATTTGGTGACATCGGTGAAATTCTCCAATACACATTTTGGTAAATTGCGATCGTGACCCTATATTCCCTACCATAGACGGTGGTGCTTCCAGATATACGTGGGGTGAATTTTAATTGCTTATTGATTCTGATGTTATCTATGCATATTATATTTATGGCGTTTCATCTGACCAGTAATACATGAGCATCACCCAACTACCGTATAGGTATCAAAACTTTTGTAAGGAATGAGCAAACCTTTCGGAAATGATATTTCATTAGCAAAACATAGTAATAGTATTGTCGTTTTTGACATATATAATGTATAGTAATCGTCAAAGGTGAATATAAAATTTAAAAATCAAACATAAACAAATAATCTACAGACAATGAAATGTTTCAAAACTGAAAATTCCAAGACAACATAATAAAAATTTCTTATAAAATACTGCTTAAGTTTTATTTTGAAAAAGCTTATATCTTTTCCTGTCTGCTGGTATACTGTGGAACATTTTTTGCCCTAAAGACTTCCTAGATAGATTGTATTCCACAACAGGTAAATATCATTGGTTACATTGGATAGTATTTTGTCCCAAGTAATTTATATATTTTAAATAGTTTCCCTTCACCCAACAATGCTTCTGATCACTCTTTGGCGTATGACAGAAGCAGCCTGAATTCAACCTGTGCATAGTATAGACTGAGGAGTTGGTCCGTAGGTTTTATAAACGTATGAATGTGAACTCAAAATGGATCGTATACTTGTATTGTGCTTTGAAACTCAAATATTCATCTAAATATACTCTCAAAAATTTAGTGTCATTATAGAAATTGATCTGTTTGCCATTTAACCTAATTTGTATGTCCTATGACTTCGTCTGCACATTGTAAAAGCTCACCACAGAAGTCTTCTTTGAGTCTAAAAATAATTGATTTTGTTCAAACCATTCGTTAAGATGCTTCATAAAGTCATTAAATTTAGTGTCCAATACGTTGTCATGCGGATCTGATATGAGGCATCAGCTGCATACAATGTAAAATTCACTAGGTCATTGAACAGTTCATCCAGATTATTTATATACAGTATAAATAGTAGAGGCCCTAGTATAGATCCTTGGAGAGCTCCCATATCAATATCGACACATGAAGACATGACTTACCATAATGTACCATAATTGTGTAATAAAAAAACATATACTGTGACCTGCCAAAAAAGATTTGATCCATGTGAGAGAACTGCAAGTAATTGTGTAACAATGTAGATTTTTTAACAATTTTTTATGATTGACGCAGTCAAATGCCCTGACATATTATGTGAGGCTTCTCAATATACAAAAACTATTCACAACCTAGACGCTCTAGGTATTTCCAGCTAGAACACAAGACCAATGACTGCCTCACTCTTTTAAATACATCATGATAATTCCTTATTAAGTAACAATCAGCAACATCGCTATAATTGCTTGTGAGTTTTCGAGAAAGAAATTTGATTCGATATATTTCGCCAAAATTTTATCGCAAGAAAACTATGATGCCAATAACGATGAATTTGAGAATGTTCTCATCGTTTTTCGATGTTTTGTTAGCTTTTGGTCATTTAGTTGTAGCTAAAAACACTTTTTGAGGAAGATTCTTCCTTAAAAATCTCGTTCTTTGAGTTATTCGATATTATGCTGCATAGTCAAGGATATTTAACTCAAACATTTTGATGTGAGTGAAGGCGCATTGGAGGATACAGGGCTGGACATGAGGATGGCACAAAAAGGTATTAAATCTTCTACGCTTGTGCTTGTCACTTTGACATCTTGCTTGTCATGGAACATACGATTTGTGTTTTTTGTGTTTTCAGCATTGCCTGAATATACGTACAACTATACCCAGGAGCCAAAATGGATTACTCCATAAAACGTCCTACGCCAATGCTAACGTACCTTGGTATCAGCAAGTTCGGTGCGCGGACTCCGCTGGATTTGCAGCGGTGTACGATATACCTCTTCCATTTTAGTACCAGGCTGTATACAGTGTGGATGGTCAGCATTAAATGTAACAAACTATTTTCAGAAATTGAATTAAAACTATGGTCCTCTGTCACACAGTTCACATTTATATGCAAGAGCGAGTAGCAGCTGCACCAAGGATTGGCTTGCACAGTATGTAATTTATCTTAGAAGGGTTAAGCTACACATATGATACCGTTAGGCATGTTACATTACGACCTAACTGAAATTTGAATTTCTAGAGAAGCTAATCAGCTCAATATCAATTGGCCAGTGCAACGATATTATTTCCGGATATATTGTTCTCATTATATTTTGGATCATGGAGCTATAAATTGTACCACCCCTCATACCACACCCTATGAACGGTCCGCCACGTATTTCATCTCCTTTCAGATCCAGCGAATCGGTAGGATTCCGCGTCTCTCCCGAATATTGTAGGGAATATACTTTGGAGAATATGTGGCAATTTTAAAGCAGATAAGAGCGTAGACTGGCAGCTGGGATGTAAGGAATTCACCCCCCCCCCCCCATTTCCCGTTCTCCCATTCAAAGGGAACCGGACAAAGGAACGTAGAATAGCCTGGAATCTATTCAAGCTCCAGCATGAGCTTTCGGCTGTTGGTCTGCAAAATGGCGGAATATTCTTGTATGAGAGAAAATGCATGTTGTATGCAGATCGTTGGCAAGCCTAATAAGGTGGGATAAGGGGGTGGAGGATTTTTCTGACAAACAATCGATGAGTAAGCATTTTACCAGAGGTTGAGGCGACTAGAAATAGTTATCTCCATACCCAGCAGCAGAATAGAATGCTCACAGGGGAATGATAGAAAATTATGACAGCTGTTCACATTTGTCAAACGAATATATGAATACATCCTCTTTCTGCAAATGAGATGTTCCCACAGAGTATCAAAATTGTACGTATCACTTGCAGTGAACGCATTTTTGTTCAGATTTACTTTTGTTGTTGGTGTGTATATTTATCATCCATTTGTAACCTACGAAAGACATTTTTGATTCAAGTTATAAATAGCACTTTTCGCGAGAAAAGCTATTCTCAATATGTGTGAGTTATCACATAACTTTTAGGGCACTACGCGGGATACTATACGACTTATTTTAGTAATAAAAGAAGCATGTCAGATTGAAATTCAACAGTTTCCTGACTTCATATTGCCTATTTATTTCATATAACGTATCCACCAAAAACCGTGGAAAGAGCTGAACCTGAACTTATAGTTTATTCACTGAAACAAAGCAGTTACGTCATATTTAGTAAACTTGAATGCCAATCTTAATGCAAAAATTGGTACGTATGGTTTTTATTTCCCAGGTACATTTATGTTGGTAACAGTTTTGTGTGTTGTGACATTGTCGCAAAGTTTATCAGGTACAACGGCTGTTGTTTATTTGTGGTTTATTTTCGTTCTTTTTGCCTCAATATTTGCATTGTTATTTTATGAAAACCGTTTTTTTCAAAACTTTAAGGTGTCCTTTTAAGCATTTTGCTAAAATGCTGAAATCTCTGTCTCGGCAAGCCAAAGAATTCGTAATTACTTTGACAAAATATTTTGACGCCGAAAGACATCGTGGAGCTAGATTAATGCCTTTACAGTCTGTAAGAGAGGTTTCAGGGGGTAAACAGAATTTATACTAGCTCTAGCGTTTACAAAACATACGCTCCGTAATGTTTGTTGCGATAAGGCATCGAAGACATAAAGTATATTTTGTTAAACGTCCTAGGATCTAGTAGTTTTAATTAATGTGGCAACCATCTGCGTCACTGTCATTATTTGACGTTGTGACGTAACTGCTTTAATTCGGTGAATATGTTACCGGTAATCTGTATAATTCAGGTATTCTATACAAAAGCTAGGCAATGTATAGAATACCTGGGTTACCCATGCAATGTATGAAATATTATGAATATACAGTTCATTACATACTTTACCTAGGTAATGAATGCAATTCCTAGGGATTGTATAGACTACCGGCAATGTGTAAAATAAATAGATCTTGGTCTAAATTTATCAATGTTAACAGGCATACCTATAATATGAAGGGCAAATGGAACAAGTTATATTATTTAAAATCAACTTTCTTAAAATTAACAATTAGAGTGCTCCTTAAAAATAAGCTTTATGAAAAGGGTACAAGAAAAGCAGATTTCTGTTACTACAGTAAAATTAATGGGAAACTAAAAATTATTCTGGCTATAAGTCACAATGTATTTTTCTTTGCTTACAAGAACGCATTTCGTTTATTGCCTGTCTGCCGGTATATACACCCCGTTCCTTGCTCTCGTCTTTCACATACACATACACATTCGGTAAATAGAATACCTAGGCAAACTATAAAACAAATAATATTTCATACACTACCTACACGTTTTAGGTATTCTATACATTACCTAGGTATAGAATACCGGATTATACAGATTACCGGTAACAAATACGTATACACTATACATCGCTGTTTCTATTTTAAACGAGTAATAGTCCATGGGTCGACCGCAAAATTTAGGTTACATTGCGTACTGCTATGGAATGTTAAAAACTAGTCAAAATCCAACGCTAAACAGCAAACT